TACTTATTTTGGAGAGAGAGAGAGCGAGCAAGGGAGGGGTAGAGAGAGAGAAAGGGAGACACAGAATCTGAAGCAGGCTCCAGGCTCTGATCTGTCATCACAGAGCTTGACACAGGGCTCAAACCCATGAACCCTGAGACCATGACCTGAGCCAAAGTCAGACACTTAATGGACTGAGCCACCCAGGTGCTCATCTGTTGTCCTCTTAAGAGTCGGGAAAGACATCGTAAATAACAGAAGTTTAATACCAGCTTAGCCACGGATTTGATAGGAACAAACAACAACCATAAACATGATCCACATAAGCTTTAAAGGGCACCAGTAAACACACAGCTAGACCGTCTACTGAAGATAAGACTGGCATAAAGAGACAATGGACTAAGATATTTCCATCGATTGCAGGACATAGAGGTGAACTGTATCTATTGACAAAGCTTTCAAAAGCTTTTTAAGTTTCTGAATGAGCAATGCTTTGTTGTTTCATCTTTTCCCCACAAACACACCCATACGCATATACCTAACGACTTTGTTGGCTCCAAGCAAGGGTCGTGCCTCCAGCAGCGAGAGCCTCAAATTCGAAATGCCACCTTACACGAGTGCTCATGTATGTACCTCACATGTGCACACACACACGTGCACACACATATCATGCACTACATTCAAACATCTTACTGAAGAATAAATGCATTAATAGAGTTTAAAAGTCAGACATTTAAAATAACATATGGAGGACACTGCACGTACAAAATCCTCTGAAGAGGAAAATGTTTGCATTCAAGTTGGGGGTGGACAGGAGCCTGAATGAGAGAGAAACATCTCTATGGTGAAAGATAAAAAATTCTCATGTCTGTTACTTAGTAACAATGGTTTTTGAAAGACAGGACAGCAAACTACTTTTTGAGGGAAAAAAAAATCATCAGATTTTACACTTGAAGGCAGTTACTGGTACAAAGAAACTAGTTCTATGGGCACCTGTCTGGCTCATTCGGTACAGCATGTGACTCTTGATCTCGAGGTTGTGAGTTCAAGCCCCACACTGGGTGTGGAGCCTACTTAAAAAAAAATAAGAAAAGAAGATAGTCCTAAATATTGCAGTACTAAAAAAGATGGAAGTCAGATTTTCAGACTTAGTATTTGCTGAAGAAACAGCACACTGATCCATGACTTCCTTAAATCGTGGTTACAACCCTCCCTGAACTAATCTAAGACATACAGAACATGAGCCATGATCCATACAAACATTTGGAAATTAATTTTCATGAAAGAAAAAAGCCATCCGTAGTTATCCTTATTTTTCGTTATGTCATATTTTCAAATAAAATCATACATTATGTGCCAGTATGCACAAATAAATTAAACTCCCAAGTTTCTAAGCATAAAATATTCCATTCTTCAGAAAACTAAGCTACTAGAAAACTCACACGTTCTTTTTTCCTTTTTATGTTTCCAGGACATTGGACCACACTCAGATGCACACTGTATAATCAAGGAATGAAAACAAATTTTCTTATCAGCTTAAATAGGTTGGAAGGCAAATTTGATATAAAAACTATAACAGATAATTTCCTTAAAGGCCCACTACGAATTACCCTTGGTAATAACACTATGAATCCTCTCCGCTAATACAGGAAATGAAAATACGGAACAGTATATGGAAAATACGCGGCAATCACGGTAACAATGCAGAATTTCTTAGTCCTGGTATTTTATTTCCCCTGACCTTAGCTACTGCACCTACACTTCCCCCATGAGACTCAATCTGAAATGGAAACACACATGCTATTCACAGACACCATTATGCACGGGACTTGTAACCTCCGTGGATCTTCCTCTGAATGCCTGTGTGATCCATAGCTCCGATTCGGTATTTCTCGCATTAGTGTAGGGCAGCTGACAACCAGGGTTTATTGAAGCAATGGTTCAGCATTCTGTTTCTCGACGAAATTCCAATATTTAATGAAAATCTGGATCTACAGAAGTTTAAAGAAAAAAGATCCAGGCAATCTGCAAGAAATTTCTTTTGCATATTCTGGGGCATCGATCACCTGGACACAAAGGAGATGCTCTTCACGGGCCTGCGAAATTGAATCTAGGAACAAAGACTATTCCAAGCCCTGGACACAGGAATCCAGGCAAATACCCAATGGGCAAGCACCAGTCTCAAAGGCAAAGAGCGTTCTTCCAAATACGCAATTCTTATGCTTTCCTTCATGTTCAACACTCGACATTCGTAGAAGCTTGGTAGGTAATTCTAGCTCATGTAAGTGTGTATATGTGATTTTCTTATATTGTCACAATGAACATAATGATAATTGGTATTAAAAACAGGCGCAGTGAGCAGATGTATTCCCAGCGAATTTTACCAAGAATAGTGATACCCAGAGACGAAGAAATTAAGGGATTATGCCTTTAACAAGCGACCTCAAGATAAAGGGTAAGGTCTGGGAAAATCCTGTGTTCCCAGTACCCCACATATCCTAGCACAGAGAGACCACACAGCAGTGACTGATCAAACGGAGCCTAAGCACCCATACGTGCTGTACTCCAAAATGTACTTTTAGAAGATTCTTACGCTAGAGGGCAGTCAAGGTCTAATTATGTATTGAAAATGTAAGTTATTTACCATATGCTATGAAGGCAGGCAGGCTAGTCTCTTTAAAATGTTCACATGTACCTAAAATCCTTCAAGTGTGCTCATATAATAACTTCTAAAATGATTGAGATTAACCAGTCATCCTTGTAGCCTCCTGGTATTATGTTTAATCAAACAATTTAAACCTTGATAAAACCTTGCAATAAGAATAACTTAGTTTTTCAAATGTTTTAAAATGTTATTTTAGAACAATACTCCAAAGACACCACTGAGTTCATATTCAATCTGGAATACGTAAGCATTCTGCTGATGAGTGGAAAATAAATTGTAGCCCTGATTTAATTACATAGGGTTAGGGGCACCTGGGTGGCTCAGTTGGTTAAGCGTCTGACTTGGAATCAGGTCATGACCTCATGGCTCCTGGGATCCAGCCATGCTTCAGGCTGTGCGCTGACATCATGGAACCCGCGTGGGATAATTTCTGTTGCTCTCTTTCTGCCCCTACCCCACTCATGCGCGCTCTCAGTCTCTCTCACAATAAGTAAATAAACTTAAAAAAAAAAAAAAAACTGCATAGGGTTAGATTCCATTTTATCTAAATTTTTATGCCCTTAACTTTTTTTTTAATACCAGCAAGGGCAGTATATAGCCGGTTACGTTTTTAATCTTATCTCAGTGATCACCATTTTTATTTTGCTTTATTCCACACAATCTCTCCCATCTATCTTTTAACTTCCATTTCCCCCA